GGCACTAAAATACTATAGTGACGAGATGCAGCACACCACTCTGAGACCATGTCTAGACTTGCAGGAAGACTGATGCTGCAGCAGTCAAACTTCTAGCATTCGATTTACCAGTCTAGTAAAGACCCAGTAAATTGAATGCTGTGGGCATCCCTGTCAGCACCAGTACATCTTGCTGTCACAAGTAGTAAGGGAAGAGGATGGGAACATTTCTCCTGTCGACCTCCCACTGTGGAAATGGCACCGAAATTTGGCTTCAGCTGACCTTCCTCCGTAGCACAGACCTGGCCTGAGTTAACCAGATGGGATCAAATTTCCAAGCTCTTTCTGTAAATTCTGTAATTTTTCTGGGTTTCATGAATGGACATGTGTCACACACACAAAACAAACTCCAACACACCAGCAAAAGTGCAGAATTTGCCTTAGAAAGAGATGCAGAAGACTCCTAAATTGCATTCCCTCTAAAATGTGCGCCTGTGTGGGCATGCAACGAGAATTTGAGGTTTGCCTACCTCCTCAGCAGAGCTACAGCAGTGGCTGCTCAGCTGGGCAGCCACCACATAGCCGTGGCCCTTCCCCAGGGCTCCAGTGGCCCTGGTCAGGGCCAGAGCCACATCACAGGTGGCCAGCAGCTGTTCTGGAGGCCCCGGCCAGCAGCAGAGTACCACCAAAGTAAGATTCTGGCTCCCCGTCTTACTACCAAATCCTTTGTGTGTGTCTAATTATACATCTTCAGTTGTTAACTCTTGGCTTTATTTAGGGTCTGATCTGACTTCCATGGGTTTTATCACATTACCAATCACTAGGCTGGGAAGTGGGTTGTTATTTAAGCCCTTATTTTACAGTTCTTATGCACCTGCTTAACATTACTCATGAGAATAGTCCCACTGACTTGTAAGGAACTGACCACGTGGGTAAAGTTAGCCATTTATGTAAGTTTTTGCAGGTGGAAGGTCTAAAATGTAGAATGAGATTTTCAAAATAGCTCAGAATTGAGATAGCACTGCAAAAATTCCCATAAAGTCAATGGGAGCAGAGTTGTTTGTCTGATTACTCATTCAGTATTTTCGTGTTTTTAAAAAAGTGTCTTCTAATCAGAAAGCAGAAAAATGGATTACTTAGGTGACCAATCACTGGCCACTAAAAGATAATTGTGCATACTTGAAAACTTAATGACCATCTGAGTCTAAAATGTGTTTTGAACTGTTTGAAGAATTCTCACAAATAAGTAGTAATCTTACAGAAATTAGAGCAGTTTGCAAATAAGCTGAAAGCTGAAAGAAAAATAATATATTGCAATGAATAATTCAGTCAGATCGAGTCTCTACTAGACTGTTCTGGGCAAATATTTTGATGGAAAATGGCTTTTGGGGGAAACTGACATTTTACAAATATGTCTATTGTAGTTGAGATTTTTTTTTGTTTACATTAACACGTCAGTCAATTGTAGTCAACCTACCCATTTAAAAAAAAATATCCAAATTATGCTCTAAATCCCTGTTCCAAACCCCACAGAAGTCAACAGAAGTTTTCCAATTGGTTTCAATGGATTTTGGGTCAGGCCCATAGAACCTTCTTACTTGGAGATAGAAAAAGGGGGATTAGATCAAATATTGTCTCTTCTTACTAACATAGGGTTGCTTCCTACAGAGTCTTTTGTATAATAGTGGTAGAAATGTAGCCATGTTAGTCTGGTGCAGCTGAAACAAAACACAGGACTGTGTAGCACTTTAAAGACTAACAAGATGGTTTAATAGGTGATGAGATTTCGTGGGCCAGACCCACTTCCTCAGATCAAAAAGTACAACATGAAAATCGTGTTGCCCCTTTTCTTTTGTATCTGAGGAGTTTTTGAATCACCATGGGGAGACGCTTGTATATTTGTTTTATAGATCTGTATTATGCCGAATTAAAAGCACTATTTTAAAGACACATTTCTAGACCACTCTATAGATCTCCTGTAAACATGTTGATAGTGGCAAGAATTAAAATAAGCCCTCTACAAAGGAGAGGAAACTAAAACTTTCATTTTGTGATAACTTTAGTCCAAGCCCCACATGTATTTCCTTTGTTCTGGAACATTTCAGAGTTTAAGAAATCTACCAGCAGTATTCTTCAAATGAACTTTAATGAAAATGCCCGTATTAAGGAAAACACATACATGGACTCAGGGAAGATAGTTTCTATTCAGTATGAAACACAACTTTCACCCTAACACAATTTATTAAAAAGTTATTTTTATAGAAGTAATCAGACTTATGTTTAAATATGAATCATAAGAACATCATAAGAACAACCATATTGGGTCAGCCCAAAGCTCCATCTAGCCCAAAATCCTATCTTCCAACAGTTGCCAATGCCAGATGCCCTAGACCAGTGGTTTCCAACCTTTTCCAGATGGGGACCCATTTTGACAATTCAGGAAGACTTGGTGACCCAAGGCAATTCAAAAATGGGGGGAAGGAAGGGGGCAGAGCCACCTGGGGGGAGACACTTGGCAACCCTATTGAAATGTAATGGCGACTCATATTTGAGTCACGACCCATAGGTTGGGAAACCCTGCCCTAAAGGAAGTAAACAGAACAGGTAATCATTATGCGATCCATCTCCTGTCATCCATTTCCAGCCTCTGAAACAGGCTAGGGACACCATTCCTACCCATCCTGGCTAATAGCCATTGATGGACCTAACCTCCATGAATTTATGTAGTTCTTTTTTGAACCCTGTTCAAATCTTTGAGACACACTTCCGAAAAGTGCACATGACCTTAATATTGGAGCACATGACCAAACTCACTCCACTCATGGATGCAAAAATTTAACAGGAAACACTGTTCCTGTACCTCTTGTGGATCTGGTTGCAGGTTCCAGCTCTTATCTTCATGTCTTGATATGCCCCACCAGGATGCAATTCCTGTTGGAAGTGACAGTTCTTCTGGACTATCTATATGTCCAGTTCCTATCACTGTATATTTTGAAACATATCCAGTTACTTTTAACTATTGGGCTGTGTCTACACTGGCACCCTTTTCCGTAAAAGGGATGCTAATGAGACACTTCGGAATTGCAAATGCCGCGGGGGATTTAAATATCCCCCACGGCATTTGCATGAACATGGCTGCAGCTTTTTTCCGGATTGGGGTTTTGCCGGACAAAAGCGCCAGTCTAGACGGGATCTTGTGGAAAATAAACCCTTTTCCGCAAGATCCCTTATTCCTACTTTAATAAGGAATAAGTAGGAATAAGGGATCTTGCGGAAAAGGGTTTATTTTCCACAAGATCCCGTCTAGACTGGCGCTTTTGTCCGGCAAAACCCCAATCCGGAAAAAAGCTGCAGCCATGTTCATGCAAATGCCGTGGGGGATATTTAAATCCCCCGCGGCATTTGCAATTCCGAAGTGTCTCATTAGCATCCCTTTTACGGAAAAGGGTGCCAGTGTAGACACAGCCCAATAGTTAAAAGTAACTGGATATGTTTCAAAATATACAGTGATAGGTAGTTTCTTGAACTTTCATATTCCAATTAGCTATTTTTGGAGTCCTCTAAATAAATGGTAGGGGAGGAAGGAGGAGAGTAATTGCAGTTTTCCTCAATTTGGTTGAATTGACATCCAAGCAAACACATTAATATGTCCATTTATACTGGATACATTCCTGCAGTTAACAGACTTCTCCACACGAAAGATTAAGTTACATGCACATGTTCTGGCACCAGTGATAGGTTTTCAGTAATCATCCCTCAAAAAGTGTGCATTTTGGAATGGCCACTTAATGATCCATATTATATCGCAGCTTCCCTCTTTCCTTCCCTGCTCTAAGTTTCATCAGGAAATGCATTTACCATAGCTCAGAGATTTCATGGTGCATATGATATTTCTACAACAGCTCCCCAATTGAACCAAATAAGCTCTTAGTTGGGTTTTTCAAAAAGATTCAGAGCAATAATTCATAAGTATTAATTACATAAAGCAGAATTTTGCAAGGCAAAGAACAGGCCCAGTGAAGAATGCCCACAATTCTTCCCATAAAGTAATGAATTATATATATATTAAAAAAAGATTTAAAAAGTCTATCTGGCTCCTGAGTTGGAGAGAGGGTGAGCCATCTTCCACCAAGCTCAAGTAGTTCTACTCTGACCTCTAGAGGAGAAAGACTAATGTCATCTTTAGCTTTGCTCCATACAGACTCATAAGAAAGGGTGTATCCAAATGTATAAAGGGTTAATTTGCTTCAATATATTTCTTTGCCCTTTTTAAGTTTCCTTAGGACAAATTCCTAATTTTTAAATTACCTTCAGTACTGCTTTCTGTGCACTCTGATTAGAAGTGCACAAACATACCTACTCCATATGCTTTTTAATCACAGCCACTTACAGTTACAAGAGACTCTGTTCTATCTCCTGCATGAGATAGGATGGAAATGCAAGTTGTGATTCCAGAATCTTTATTACGGATTTCTCAATAATAGCAAGTCTCAAATACTGGGCAGGTTTTGTGATGCCAGTAATTATAAAACAATTTTTTAAACTTGTAAAATAATAAAGTTTGACATATAAACAGAGATAAAGGGAATGAAAAAAAATCCAAGTTTGATTTTACAGATTTCTCCTGGCTTTAAACATTAAACGAAAGCAAGTTCACTTAGTTTCCTGACCCAGACAATACTGTCTAATTCATGGGCCTGAAAACTAGTCAAGTGAACCTTTCAGAGAGCTTTTTTACATGTTTCTTTTGAAAACACCACTTTATAATATTCAATTACTTTGTTCAGATGTCAAATTTACCATATTCCTTGGTGTGCATTAGTTTTCACTTAATTTCTTCCTGTTGCAGTGCCACACTATTTTTAAGGATTCTCCCACATCTCACCCATGTGTGTTCTGGATATAATCATCTCTCCAAATCAAAGAAGGCTCTTAATGTTATTTTCAAATGCTCATGAAAGTGTCTATTTTTGCACTGAGTAATTAGCATGTGAGCCTGGAGGGCACCACTTGCCCGTTACCTGGTCACGGTCGCCTGCAAAACAGCAGCTCTTCATGGTACAGGAGTTGAAGTAACCTTGGTTATCAAACTGGAAGACTGGCAGTCGGGAATGGATATCATAAAGCACCGGTGGAAGGCGCCGACGCAATGCCAGCAGCTGGGTGCCGTTGCTGTTGAATCGGACACTCATGGCACTTTGAAGGGAGAGATTTCCACCATAACGAAGCAGTGAACTAGGAAGGGGAAGAGAGAACAAGTCAGCCAGGCTGCCCTAGATTTAAAATGTACATAAGAGTAACAATTGTGTTTCAATTTTTAAAATACATGTGATCAGCCAGTATAGTCATCAGAGTCTTGAGAGAGAAGAGGAATTTTTACAGAATGATCTTTGCTCAAGGTGCCAATATTTTCATCGTGCTGCAATATAAACAATTTTATACATCTGAATAAAGTCTCTGTCCAAGTTCTGCAGAAAAACATTCAAGGCACCCATTCTCCAGCAAATTTGGTTCAATGCTTGAATGACAAGCTATCAAAAGTACTCAGTTTAGACAGATTTTATTCCTCTTTCCTCCCCTCCCCCCCAGATAAATTCCCTGCATGGGGACAAATCCTCAGTACAAATCCTCAGCACATCAGAAAATGTTTCTGCCACTAGCAGTCACTACCATCAGCTCCAGGTATCCTAAATAAAACAATACTTTAAAAGTTACTATGAGAAAGCATAGGATAAGAGTTAGCTAATCTCAAACACGTGTCACCAACAAATACTGTTAAATTGACAAAAAGCTTATATTACATAACACTATTATCTAACATTCTGACATAGTAGAAGTCCATAGCCTCACCCAGGATTGTGATCACAATCAATGTACCCATATCAGCTCTTAGTATTTGTCCAAGACAAAAAATGGAGTAGTGTGTCCCCAGACTGCAAAGATTCTTCTTTATGGGAAGACCAAGCTCTTTGTCTCTGTCAGGAGCCCAGGATAGTAGAAACTTGGTTGAAATCCAGATTGTGAGGCTTGGATTCCTTTGTGCTTCCAAATGCATCACTCTATTGATGGGGAAAATCTTTTGTTTGCGCTGTCCGATGTTGAGGGATTTAATGACTCCTGACGCAGCATCTGAGATGGACCTTTTTAGTTCATGGATTTGGGGGAGTCCTTACCTACCAGATGATTTATCCTCTGCTGTGAACCTTGTCCACCCTCAGTATCTAACAGGCATGTGCATACAAAAACCTCATATTTTCAGAGGAAGTGGACTCCTAGGTTTTAAGGCATCATATTTTTCAGATACAGTTCTCTGCCAAGACTTTATAAAAGTGAGTCACTCCCCATGGAAGCGAATCTGCATTCCACACAGGTTTAAGCATGCCTTGTATCCTGACACACTGTAGAACTGAACAGATACTTGCCCTTGAGTTAGATTTAGGAACAACCTATTAAAATGTAATTGAAATGTGCTCAGTTTTTTTTCTAAATGGTTAGAGCTGAATTACCATGAAGAAACTACAGACCAGTTTTTCAAAAGTGGTTAATGTCTCTGACATTTAGCACTGTAATTGCTTTAAAGGGATTTAATGTTCAGAGAACAGGTGCTCAGCATTTTCTGAAGAATATCAATTTAAGCACCTCCAAAAAAATAACCAGTCCCTTTTGAAATTGTTTCCATAGGTTTTACTACTAAATATTAAACCTACAAATCATTGAAAGCCACCTTTGTATTTAATTTCTTTATGAAGCCTAAGACAATGGTAGTATGGAAACTTTAATATAACAAATTGAAACCATTTTCAACCTACTTTGAAGGGAGCAAATTTTGGGGAGGGGTGGGGAAGTGATTTTTTTTTTTTAAGACAAAACACTTCTAGGTACTTAAATACAGTAGCAAGCATTAATTTTATCATCACTAAGATGAAGTCTACATTTGGAAGGCTTTGCTTGTATAGCTATACCATTATACTGTATCAGTAAAGAGCTTGTAGGCCTGGGTCTACACAGAATTTTTGTACCATTATAGTGTCATTTAAAAAAATGTAATAGTTATTTACCAATGAAGCTCTAGTATGGATGCAGTTCTACTGAAACAAAAATGTCTTATATCAGTATAGCTTATTCCTCTTCTTGTAGGGCAACAGCTCAACTGACATAACGGTGTTTACACCAAGAGGAGCTGCACTGCTTTGTCTATACCAGTATTGTTAAGTTAGTACAACTTTCTAATGTAGACAAGCCTCTAAGGTAGATGTAGTTATACTGGCTAAACTGTGCTATTGCCCATTGAACTTATCCAAGCCACAAACATCCCAGGAAAAAAAAATTATCTGCAAAAGAGACAGTTTTGCAGAATACCTGCATGTGTACTAGAATCAAGGAACTCTAATAGATTAGTAAGACGATTTCCCTTTACAGAAACCACGTTGACTTTTGCCCAACAAGTTATGTTCTTCTAGGTGTCTGACAATTTTATTCTTTACTATTGTTTCAACTAATTTGCCCAGTATGGACGTTAGACTTACCAGTCTGTAATTGCCAGGATCGCCTCTAGAGCCCTTTTTAAATATTTGCGTTACATTAGCTATCTTCCAGTCATTGGGTATAGAAGCGGATATAAAGGATAGGTTACAAACCATAGTTAATAGTTCCACAATTTCACATTTGAGTTCTTTCAGAGCTCTTGGGTGAATGCGATCTGGTCCCGGTGACTTGTTACTGTTAAGTTTGTCAATTAATTCCAAAACCTCCTCTAATGACACCTCAATCTGTGACAAGTCCTCAGATTTGTCTCAGACTCCAGAGTGAATTTGAAGGACTGGCAGGGGAAAAATCATCTGTTTTTACTTGTATATTGTTACATTTGTCCTGGAGTTATTGAGAGACATCAGTCTTTTAGAGTCACTTTTCAAAATGGCTTTTAGAGGATTTGAGGTTATCATTGCTGTTACCCTGAATTTCCCTCACTTGTTAATTATCGTGTAACCTTGCCTGCAGCTAGAGGAGCAGACAAAAGTCTCCCCCCAAAACTAAACAGATCACCATACACACTCATTGGGCATCCCTCCATGTGAGCCACCAAGTAATAGAAAGGTGATCGTATCCTGGGGGAGTGCCCTGTCATGCTCATCATTGTCATTCTTCATTTTTATACCATTGTAATCTTACATATAAAACATAGCTTGTAAGGTATCGGGGAAAGGTTATGATCTGTTGAAAGTCATTTCCTCTATTCACACACGTAATATCAATGTTTATGAAATTATGCGAATGCGTTGTCTGGTTGTCACTAAAACATGCTGTAAGTTGGGGAAAATCAACCAGATATTAGCTTCCCAGAGACAAAAGCAAGGAGACTAACCAATGCCTAGGAGGCATGTCAACATCCATTGTCCAGCAAAGGAGCTACAATGTGATCACTCACTTGCATGAGGCTACACCAAGGGAATTGGTCCCCAGGCAAGGTTGACTCAACAATGCCCCCAGACATTCTGGACATGTGTTTTCTAAGCACATAGACAGAGGGTTTAAAAAAAATAAACACTGGGGCTACTGCTTTGCCTTTGTCCCCATTGTGCTGTAAGCAACAAAGGACATGCTGAAGACTCCAACACAGGTGAACTGGCCTAGATTTCAAGGGTGAAATGTGTACTATGACCTAGGGATGTGATAGTGTAGTTGATTAACCCATTATCCGATAAGCAAAAGCTTATAGGTTAATGCTATAGACTACACGCATCTCCCCGGACAGGGGCTGCTGCTACAGAGGCAGCAGCACAGGGCAACAGGCAGCTGGTCTGCAAGGGGAGCTAGTCTTTAAACTGGCTCTCCTCACAGACCAGCTCCTGCCTGGCACCCCATGCAGAGTGGCAGGAGCTCCTTGGGAGTGCGGCCGGAGTGCACTGGTTGCCAGCCCCACCCCGGGGACTACAGAATAGTTGACTAACCGATAAGAATTCATGAGGTTACTCAAATATTGGTTAACTGAATAGTCAACATCCCTACTATGAACTGCAATATCCAGGGGGGTGAGAAAAACAGCTTGATTTAGCAGTTGACCTAATAGGGCTGAGAGTTTAGATTGTAGGTTTCTATTTTCTTTTCTTTCAGTAACTACTGACTTTTTGCCTAAAACTTATTTAAATTCTATCTTTGTAATCAAACTTATTTTACTTTTTATCTTTACCAGTGAGTCTGTATAAAGTATGTGACAGATCTGCTCAATTTTCACAAAAACAGGCATACGTTCACTTTCCACTGATGAAGTGGGTGAGCCAATTAATAAATTAGATGGTAATACCCTGAAGTATAGTGTTGAGAGCAGAGGGGGATGATCTGGCTGGTGCATTACTCAGAAATTCATGAGTGGCCATGGGAGCATTCATGCAGTCTGGCTGAGTGGTGAGCTTCACATACAGTTGTGTTAGGGATTACAGCACCTGGATGGGGTTGCTGCTGATCACTAGCTAGGCATTGTGAGAGACAGTCCAGCCTGGTGAGAGTGACGGATGTATAGTGGTCCCACAGTCCCAGAGGGATCCAGTCACAAGGCACAGAAAACTATTCACTTGTATTCAGTGAAGAGGTGTCACTTCCTGGATACAAAGTTGAGTATTAGATGAGTGCAGGTTTTTGCTCACTTTAACACTGATTCCCCCCTCCCTCCACACACACACACTTACATTCTCCCCCCAACTTTTCTTCACAGAATAGTTCTCAGAGGTGGCATCCTCCTGCTGCCATCAGGAAAGCATTAGGAGTATAACTAGCTAGAAGCAACCCTCATCCCTCAGAGAGATGAAGACCATCTCCAATAATGAGATACCTAAAGTCAACCCTCAGATATCATCAGCAGCAGCCATGGTAATACCAAACACAACCAGAGCAACCCTTGACAGAGAATATCTGAATGAGCAAGGTAACACTCTTTGCCATAAACAATAACTCCTTCACTCATTTATTCAGAACTACCCTGGTAATTCATCTGCTGTCACTGCCAATGAGGTGAGACACATTTGAAATGCTGGCCATTGCTGCACAGCTCTGGAAACAAAGAAACGCACATATGAACTTTTTTAGCAGTGGTAGTGGGTCTGGCAAAAATAAGAGAAAGGTATTTTGCCTCTGAACTTAATCTAATCCTAAAGTATACAATATATTGTATTGGGGGCAGGGCAAAGGAGAGATTGACAGAGTTACATGCAAAAATGTTACTCCCATAGCTCAATGTACTA